TAGGTGCCTCAATTGGAATGTCAAACACATGGATTCAATTTGGATTGGAAATAGCAATGGCTGTTGCCGTTCTCATCATTGTTGAGGTTATTTTCCAAATATTTCTGTATCTGGATAATAGGGGCCACCTGGATTTCATTGATAAATACAGAAGACGTTTTAAACGTTTCCTGGTTGAAAGAGAATACAAGATGCGTAAGCCAAAGTTATTTTAAGGGACTTATGCCCCATAAGTGTGTTCATGTTTGAAGTGATTTCTATGAACTCACAGGGCATCGCGTGGAAGTCTTCGTTTTATGGATAGTAATTTGTCTGCACTTTGATTCATTTATTCCACATCTGCTTCTTAACTCTAATTTATAAAATTAGTTAATTTTCTTCTAATATTTACGTATTTTATATAACCCAAATATGTTTTATAAATTGGGCTAAGATTGCAAGCTCCAACGGGTTCCTTACGATTCTTCCATAGGTGGAGCAATTTTTAGTAAACATGAATTAATGCTGTGTACTAATATATACGTATAGAAGGATTTTTGTATATAGTGCATATTTTTACATCCGGCTTCTATAATTGGCAGTTCGCAATCCTTATTCGAATTTCCTCCCTTATGGTGGTTTATAGAGGAATAAGTAAAATAGTATACCTATATACAGCATGGTCCAATGAATATATGTGTAGTGCATACATGGGTGTTTTCTTTGTTAAAACATTTCTCACCTTCTTTCATCATGTAATGACTTCACCCATTCCATTTGTACAGAAATGGGCAGATTCATATGTTATCCTATTCCGAGCTATGATACTTCTTTTACGTTCTAAAGGAGTCTTTTATATATATGTATCTTTCTTACTGTTAATGAATTCCTTAAAATAAAATAACAATCTGTACTATCATGTGAATGTCCTTGGAACAAAATTAATAAATGTTCTATAGCTATAGTGGTCCGTCTATTGGTGAGAACTCTTCCCGAGTGCAAACTTCAACAATGCTGTTAAGGATCCTCTTAGGGCTAAATTCTGATCAGATTACCAGAATGAATTTTTGTTAATTCCCACTGCTTCTGTGCTGTACTTGTGACACATTCACTGTTGCACGAATCTTTTCCATTTGATGCCTGTATTGGGATATTCGTTCCTATATTTGATGTGTCACACGTGGGTCATGAGAAAAGATCACGCATCCGTTAAGGAGGACGTACCGATTAAGTAAATACATACGTTTCACGTCCTAGTTCCTATACACAGCAGAATTTTCTTCCGGACACAATGATTTTTGCATTGTGCCCCATGTTTCTGATCGATTAATGATTTTCTCAGCAAGGATTAGTGCATAAGAGGCCGTGTAGCATAAATTACTAATGTGAGCACCCTAAGGATGGTGGACAGAACATAAATTTACAATAATCCCCATGCAGTAATAATGGGCAGCAGGGAGGCTCCTTTTCCACGAAGCGATTCAAATGAGTTACACAAAGCCAAGTTGGACATGTAGAAGGAAATACATAGATTATTTTATCAGAATAAAGAAATGTTGTATATATTTGGCACATTCCGGCGTCTGTCCACATTGCCCACAGAAGTGTTCTATAAACGTTGCGGGACAGTGAACAGATATTACCATAAATGGAGCATACAAAT